GATGTTGTAACCGGTTTGGTATGTTTGATTAGAGCTATGTCTCTTGGGAAGAAAAAAGTTTTCCAACAGTTAATCGTCCCAAGTTCTAGTTGAGTCATCAATCAGATCTGCCACAATAAGTTCCACGTCCACAAAAATGTTCTTCATAAGAGAAGCTGTAAAGATAATTTATATAGGAATAATTTGTTTTTTTATTTATTTGTTATTAACCAAATTATCCCATTTATATAAGGATTTTGCATTGAGATTACAAAAAAAGAGTGGTGTTGCTCTGTTCCTTTTCCCGTCTCCTTTTGCATTATCGTTGAGATTTTACCAAAATTTGGCAGTTTCTTTTTTTTCTGGACTTCTCATTTCCCAAAATCTGATTCCTTTTTCTCTTCTTCACTTAATTTGATGTGATTCTCTCCACAAAGCTCAATCTTAAAAACACTGATTCTCGAGAAATTTGGTCAGCCTGATGTTTATGCTTACAGTGCGTTGATCAAGTTTTGTAAGATGAATCGAATCGGTGATGCTACAAAAGTTTTGGATAGACTTAGAAGCAAAGGGTTTTCTCCAGATACTGTGACTTACGACATAATGATTGGTACTTTGTGTAGTAGATGGAAACTTGATCTTGCTATGAAGGTTTTTAGATCAGTTGTTAACAGATCATTGCTTACTTACACGATTTTGATCGAAGCGACGATGCTCGAAGGCGGAGTTGATGAAGCATTGAAGCTTTTGGATGAGATGTTGTCTAGAGGGTTAAAACCTGATATGTTTACTTATAACACAGTCATAAGAGGAATGTGTAAAGAAGGGATGGTGGATCGCGCGTTTGGAATTGAGAGGTTGTGAGCCTGATGTGAGCTCTTACAACATCTTGCTTCGAGCTCTTTCGAACCAAGGGAAATGGGAAGAAGGAGAGAAGCTAATGAGTAAAATGTTTTCGGAGAAGTGGGAGCCGAATGTTGTGACTTGTAGCATTCTGATTACTACTCTATGTCGCGATGGAAAGATCGATGAAGCGTTGAATCTGCTTAAGCTCATGAAGGAACAAGGGTGGATGAAGCTTTTGAGTAATTAGTTGACATGAGAAGCTGTGTGTTTCATCCATCGGTGATCGGTTGTTACATACAACATTGTTCTCTTGGGATTATGTATGGCTCATAGGATCGATCGATGGTGGAAAATGGATGTAGGCCTAATGAAACAACTTATCCAGTGCTCGTTGAAGGGATTGGATTTGCTGGTTATCGAGCTGAAGCTATGGAGTTAGCCAATGATTTGGTTCGTATTGACGCGATTTCTGAGTGTTCTTTCAAGAGATTGCATAGGACTTTTCCTTTGCTTAATGCTTTACAGAGATCTTCGAATACATTTGGTAAATGCATTGAAACTGGAAAAGTATCCAGTCAGCCCAGGACCTGATGAAAAGAGGAGTTTGAAGTGGAAGAAGTGTGGACATCACAAGAGATCCCTGGTCACCCACCAAACCAGCACGACCCCCCAGAGTGAACTCTGAGTTTGCTTCTGTGCAGCTCCCTTTAGCCATGTTCAATGAAGAAGACTCTGATGAGTGGAAAATTAACCAAGTGAGGGAAGTATTTGTGGAAGAAGACAATCAATGGATCCTAGAAGTTAAGCCAGGGAAGGGAAAAGAGGCAGATGGATCTACAATCAGAATGGAATTTTTTCAGTCAAGTCTGCCTATTGGCTAGCAATGCAAGATTTGGAAACACAACCAAAAATCCAAAAGTTTGTGTGGAGGTGTCTAACATATACTTTGGCAGTGGCTAAGAACTTAGCTGCAAGGAGATTGGCTTCAGATAAAGGATGCCTGAGATGTGATGTGGTGCTGAGGAAGAAAATGGAAACAATGTATTGTTTGAATGTTCTTTTGCAAGACTTATCCGGGCGATCTCTCCTCTGGCTATGGTAATATATCCCAATCCAATCCCTCAGGTTCTCTCTTCTCCAATCTTGGCTCATTTTCATTCCCAGATACAGATAATGAAGAGATGAAGGAGAGATTCAAGATCTTTCCTTGGATCGATCTTATGGAGACTACGGAAAGAAAAACAATAATCTCTGTTTCACATGGGGCCAGTCTTCACCAGAAAAGATAGTGACAATAGCAATCAGTGACTGTGAGGAATGGTATATAGCAAACACAGAACAAGAGCCAAGGAGAAGAACATCACTTTGGACATGTTTGGAAGCAGAGGCATTGCGTTTTCTCCAGCCTTCTTTTGCGTTT